GTTGCCGCAAGCCGTGGCCTGTTGATTGGTTGGGTTCGTTGTAAGTCCCCTCAGGTCACGAGTTCGATCCCCAATGGCGTTGGGTTCTCGAATATTTAGGCACATGGCTCGGGCTTTCATCATGGGGCCTAGCGCATGGGAAATCGCATTTGGGTTTCTGTCAAATACCAATTTCCTTTTAAAAAACAAATATATATATATATATATATATTGAATATGATGTCTTTTTACGAGCCTCGCATGTTGCCATTCCGCTCTGCTAGGGTTCCGCCACATGGCGAACCCTAGCGTCTTTCGGCTTTAGGATTTACTCGCGTCGCTTCTTCTCGCATTTGCGTTCGCGTCTCGTATGGCAACAGTTCTGCGATCATCTTCGTGCCTGCGTCTCTTCAGCGACAGAGCAGCTCGACAGCGTCCGCTGCGTCTCGTCTACTACAGAGCCCCGAGATTGACCATTGATGAATATGTTGTATTTATTGAGCCAAGAGAGAATAATTTTGCAAATATCCCAGGAAAACCCCTAGTTTTAAGCACCTTCAAGATAAACTCTCAACTAACAGAATCATAAGCCTCGTGAATAGAAAGAAAATAGTTAATGCCTGAAAAGAAGATTTGTTTAGCTTTACCCGTTCTCCAAAGCTTATTAATATATGCAATAATATTAGTAAATATCATTCTATTCTAAATGGCTTTACCCTCATGTATAATATCATTACGAGTCATCCAAATAAACCAGCATATAATGTAAGAGTAGACTTGCAAAAATGTTTCTGTTTACGATCCGGATTGCAAATCATAGTGGTAAGCAAAAGATTCTGCTCCGGATTCACAATAGTACCAAACCACATGCCAACCTTCCTATAAATGAAAAGTGAAAAGGGGCAAGAAAAGAAAATATGCTCAACAGTCTCCTCCGCCGAGTTACACAAACAACAACGTGAAGCAAGTTTCAAACCCTTCATTTTTAAGATATCATCACAAGGAATAATAGAGTGGAAAATCCGTCAAGCCAGGAAAGACATAGAGCAATTTAATGCCCAACTCCACACACCCTCTCCCCAAGGGAGCTTTTGAAAATTATGTAAGGCGGAAAATAAAGATTTTATAGTGGAGCAAGACATTGGAAGTTTAAATGTAGGAGTATCTTGCAAATGAGGCTCAATAGGAATGGTTGAAATGAAATTAGCTCCCCCAGAAGATAGAAGATTAAGGAGAAGAGGAAAATTCCAATGACCATCTAACCCAAGTGTCAGAAAC